TCAGCAGCAGCAGTATCATCATCATCATCATCCTCATCCTCATCATCATCAGCACCATCATCATCATCATCATAATCAGCATCATCATCATCATTATCAGCATCAGCATCATCATCACCATCATCATCATCATCATCATCATCATCATCCGCATCCTCGTTATCACCATCGTGGTCGTCAGCGGAATCATCATCAGCATCACCATCAACGCCAAAACAGGCGCATCCTAATCATCAGTAGCATTATCACCATCATCAGCAGCATCAGCATCAGCACCATCATCAGCATCAGCAGCAGCATAAGCATCATCCTCAACATCAGCAGCAGCATCAGCAGAAGCATCATGATCATCAGCACCAGCATCATCATCGGCATCATAATCATCACTATCAACATCATCATCATCATCATCATCAGCATCTTCATCATCATCATCAGCATCATCATCATCATCGGAAGCAGCATCATCATCACCATCATGATGTTCATCATCATCAGCATCATCATCATCGTCATCATCAGCATCAGCATCATCATCATCATCAGCAGCAGCAGCATCATCAACATCGTCCTCATCCTCATCCTCATCCTCATCCCCATCCTCATCCTCATCCTCATCTTCATCCTAATACTCATCTTCATCCCTCCCTTCTCCCTCCCTCCCACCCTCCCACCCTCACCCCATCCATTCCCCATCGAGGGAATTCGGGGGGAGCCAAGGGAGAGAAGTGAAGGAGGACGGCGAGGGAGGAAGCGGAAGAGGGCAAAGGCGAGGAAGAGGGCGAAGAGGAGGCAGAAGAAATCCTACCTGGATGGGAGGGGTTGGGAGAAGGGAAAGGGGGGGAAGCCAAAGGGAATCCTAAGTATGGAGCGAAGAAAGAGCATTGAAGGGAAAAAGCCTCGGAACCGGGACGGAGCCTGAAGGAAAAGGAGGAAGAGGGAGAACGCAGGGGAACCATTGAGATAGAGAAGGGAGGAAGTCGAAAGGGTGGAAAAGGCGGCATCATGGCTAAACCAGCATGGGATCGGGACAACTCTGGAGAGCTCTGACGAAGCGAAGGAGGAGGTAGCCTGCCACTCCGCTCGCCCGCGGGCGAACGGCGCGCCCTCGGAGCGCCACCAGGACCCGCGCCCAGCACGGCCGACGACCGTGCCGCGCTGGGCGTGGCTCCACCACCTCCTCCTCCTCCTCCTCCTCCTCCTCCTCCTCCTCCTCCTCCTCCTCTCCTCCTCCTCCTCCTCCCCTCCTCCTCCTCCTCCTCCTCCTCCTCCTCCTCCTCCTCCTCCTCCTCCTCCTCCCCTCCCCCTCCTCCTCCTCCTCCTCCCCTCCCTCCTCTCCTCTCCACCTCCTCCTCCTCCCTCCTCCTCCTCCTCCTCCTCCTCCCTCCCTCCTCTCCCCCTCCTCCTCCTCCTCCTCCTCCTCCTCCTCCTCCTCCTCCTCCTCCTCCTCCTCCTGCTCCTCCTCCTCCTCCTCTTCCTCCTCCTCATCCTTCTCCTCCTCCACCTCCTCTTCCCCCCTCCTCCTGTTCCTCCTGTTCCTCCCTCCTCCTCCTCCTCTCTCCTCCTCCTCCACCCTCCTCCTCCACCTCCTCCTCCACCTCCTCCTAGTCATCGTCACCAGCATCAGCACCGCATCAGCATCATCATCATCATCATCATCATCATCATCATCATCATCATCTCATCATCATCATCATCAGCATCATCATCATCATCATCATCATCATCATCATCATCATCATCATCAGCATCATCATCATCAAACATCATCATCATCATCATCATCATCATCATCATCAGCATCATCATCATCATCAGTATCAGCATCATCATCATCATCAGCAGCATCATCATCATCATCAGCAGCATCATCATCATCATCATCATCATCATCATCATCAGCAGCATCATCATCATCATCCGCATCATCATCAGCAGCATCATCAGCAGCAGCATCATCAACAGCAGCAGAAACCTCATCAGCATTTTAATCAGCAGCAGCAACAGTACCATCATCATCATCATCATCATCAGCAGCAGCATCATCATCATCATGGTCAGCATCAGCATCATCAGCATCATTAGCGCCACCACCACCATCATCAGCATCGTCATCAGCATCATCATCATCAGCAGCAGCATCGTCTTCATCGACATCATCATCAACATCATCATCATCATCCGCGTCCTGGTCATCACCATCTCCATCATAATCATCATAAGAATCCCCGTTATCATCATGATCATCATAAGCATCAACAACATCAGCATCAACTGCATCATCACACCATCAGCAGCAGCATCATCGACATCATAAGCAGCATCAATATCAGCATCAGGATAATCATCAGCTTCATCCTCATAATCATCAGCATCACCATCATCATCAGCAGCATCAGCAGCATGATCATCAGCAGCATCAGCATCAGCATCAACAGCAGTATCAACATCATCGTCATCATCATCAGCAGCATCATCAGCATCAGCATCAGAATCATCA